GCCTATAGAACAGGAACGGGCTCCAGAATATTTGGCAAATAACGAACAAGAAAGTGAAAATAATAAGCTATTAAGTCTACCATTAAAATCAATCTCCAAATCTAGTGAGGTTCAAGAAAGGCCACAAGGAATCAAAGAAAAAGGAGAATATCACTAATGAAACAGGAAGCTTTAAAGCAAATAATCTGAACTAGATCACGTTCCCTCCTTCCCCTGCCTCAGCTCGTAGCAGAAATTTAAAGGGATTTTCAAAACATCTAATGAAACTAAACCGCCAAGAGTACTCAGACAAGAATCATAAATGAGAGTTGGAGGAAAAGTACCTTTCTTTTAAGGTAACACACTACTGGCAAAAACTAAGTACAAAACTCCAGTGTGGCAGATTTGTTCAAATGCATTTCATGCAAACTGCAAATATAAGGATTAGGTAAACACCTCACTGGAAAGGTTAGTCAAAACTTACCGCCTTCCCCAACACCCCTCTAAAACAATACAGAATCTATCACTTTCACGTCAGGTCCAGTGTGGCTGAAAAAGCCTCCCAAGATTACCAAAATGCTTTTAGGCTGTGAGGTTGCAACACTGGGGTGTCTGGGGTTTCGGCTGCAGAACACATGTACAATCAAGGCAGCCAAGGGTCAGGCCAGCCTCTAGTGGCTTTAATAAGCATAGCCCAAAGGAGCTAAAACTAGGCTTAGGAAACATCATTAATTAAAGAGGCAGGAACGGCAGAAAAGTGAAATCTCTGGAGATCAGATTATTTTGACTAGGGTCTGAAAAAGGAAATTAGGAAGCTGAGAAGGATGCAAACTTGGATCATTCCAAAAGTCAGAGGCCAGGAAACTCTTTTCTGAAAAAAGATAGGCCAAGGTATTCTACCTACCAGGGACGTCCTGAGTCCTCAGCTCTAGTTTGAAGGTGTGAAGCTGTAAGAATCTACGAGGCAGGCACGGTCCTGCTCCTCGAAGCTGCAGGTGGCGTGCTACACGATGACAGGAAGTATTCATAAATTCACAAGTGAAGGGGCGCTTCCTTCAACCACCAGTAACAAAGATATAGAATAGTTTCCTGAAGCTTAACACATGTACCTTACTTAAAATGCTTATTATGCCTACTTGGGCAAGTAACAACTCCAGAAGCTTTCAACCTAAACGTCTCTGTCCCCTCTTCTCCCTACCACACCTCATCTCCTCCTCTTTCCATTATAAAGTCAGTAATTCTCAGGGGGAAGGAAGTGGGGAACATGGCAAAGTGACAGGTGGCTAAACCACACAGGATCCCCTTAAGGCTTTTAAAAACTGCAGAGCACTCCAACCCCACCTCACCTGGAGAATCACGGCATGTAATTAGACGTTACTGCTGGGAGTGTGTGGTGCATGTGTGAAGGAGCAGACATGGACAGGGAATTGCTGCCATAAAACCTGAGGACGTCTGGAATGTCATAGTTAAGTGCAGTTATTTATTTTACTTTCTCTTATTAATAACCGTTCCTTATTATTTCTGAAGTACTTTCACATTTATCTCATTTGAGTTAGAAAATATTCCCTCACTTAGTGGCGACTGTCTACTTCATCATAAAATAGCACAGGGCAAAATAAAGCTGTTAATGCATCAGGTGAACAACTAAAATAGCCAGCTAAAATGTAATTCAACAAAAATATTTTTCCTTGAACAGAACGCAAAGTTCTTTGGAACCTCAAAACCACTGTACAAATTTAAGAGGGCATTGTGATGATCTACTAGACTGTAAACTCCTTGAAGACAAGAAACCATATCTAATCCTATATCCTCCATGATTCCCTGAACAACACAGGTTTCTTAACTGAGTAGGATGAATTAGTTTATATTCATTTATTTATTAACTCACACGCTCAACATTTATTGAATACTCAATTTCTACTCTGGCTCTGTGCTGGCTCAGATTGTTTTTAAATGTGTTTTGAATTTTAGTCCTTAATAACATAAAAGAAAATCATCACCATTCCTGTTTCTTTTCTCTTATTCTTGATTATTAATTTGACTGGAATAAGATATATGTACAATTTCAATTTTCAAACAATGGGCACACATATAAATGTAGATAATGCTGATATGTCTAAAATCCATTTTCCTTTTACCTTGCCCCTGAAACAATTCTATCACAGTCATTATACTGACAATAATCATATCATTTGATAATCACCTCAGTCACAGTTGCTGGATTGGAGCCCATGATTAAAAGCGTCTCAGCAATAGGATTTTTTTCACCAAGACCAAGCAGCAACTGACCCTTTGACTACTCAACTTCTGTTTATAACTGCAACAAATCTTATAGTCTCTCTTGCCTCCTTAAAAAATAAACCAAACATGTTAAACTGTGATAACAGCAACAGGGTAAATAATATTTGGATAGCCTGCTAGAATTTATGAGTTTCACAAACTGAACATGAGCTCCTTTAGTCCTCAAGACTCATTTGACAGATGAGAGAATGGGGCTCAAAGTGGCAGAGCTGGGATTCTGAGTCCAAACCCAGGTCTCCTGATGCCCACAGTCCAGTGCTCTCTTCATCACAGCTGCCTCCTTGCTATGCCCAGACTCGAAAAGTTGTGCAGACTGAGAACATGAAAATAATGTTCATGAAAGGTTATGCTGTGAAACAGTAGACAGTGGTTATCAAAACTGTCAACAGAGCCTCAGAAAAAAAGTTCTCTGTTTAATGAGACCAAAATTGGCCAGATGTTGAGAAACAAAATGGGTAATAGATGGTATGAAGAACAATTTGATATAGAGTTAAATTCGATGATCACAGCAATGTGATATTCACAAATCCTCAAACACCATAATTTATAACTAGCCCACTCATTCTGTTTGCTTTAGGAATAAAGGAAAAATTTCTAAACATATTTTTAAAAACAGAATTGGAAAAAAACAAAACTATGATCTTGTTCTTTAGTCCAATACTCCATATTATAAACTAAGAAACAGGTAAGTGAATTAAAACATTCATTTGATATATGATGCTCCAAAAGGAAAGACAGGTAGAAATATATGTAGGTCTTTGATTAACATCTAACTTAAAGAATGCCAAACAGAGAAGGGCAAACAGATTTGAGAGCTGTTGGGTTTTAAAATTTTACAGCAAAGCTCTGAATAACTTGCATAGCATATTTACTTTAGGGTAAGAACATTTGAATTCCAAAAGCTCATCACTAAAATAATACATCTTCATTAGACAATGAATTCACATTGTTCCCAATGATTGAGTGGTTACTATCAGGCAGGTATTAAATTGGGCATTTGTTCAAATATAAAGAGATGTCAAAATACAACACATGTAAACAATATGGGATCCCCAGTCTTCTTTCTATAAAGGTATATCATATGTTACTGTGACTAGCAGCCATTCAAAGTCCTTGGTCTACAATTCTGTTTAATACGCTTTTTCTATTCTTGCGTCACTATTAAGTTGTTCAAATCTTTTTCAATGGGCAGAAAAAAATCCTTCCTAAAGGATCACAGTGTCTTCAACTTAAAGAGACATTTCTCCCCCACCTATTAAATGTGTAGGAAAATGGTTTTTACTTTTTCACTTTTAGTTTAAATGGTCAGGTTTGATTAATTCAGCTTGGATTTTGGCCTGTTTTACTGACTGCTGTACCCTCATAGCTAGAACAGGGCCTGGCACATAGTATGTACATTTGTTGAATGAATGAATGAATTATTCCTATGATCTATGGCTCATTACATAAGGATGTATCTATAGAGAAGGATAAATATACATAAGAACTTTTTACTTTGACTTCTTAATGCTTTTAAACTTGAAATAAAAGAAACCCCTGATGTTTACATCACTCAGCTGCTTGTGAAAAGCAATCTTCCATATATATAAACAACAGCATGTGCAAGGTGTACAGTTATGCTAAGACTAGGTCATTAGCTTGGTGACAACTTGGGTGTTATCAGCTACCTCACATATTTCTCTAAGTCCCACAGCTCAAAGAGCTAAATTGTAAAATACCACGAAGACTCAATTAAGCCAATATACACATGCTGATAATTCTCCTTTGTAAATTAATGATTTCTCCACCGAAATCATTTATCAAGGCAAGTACCATTCAGAACTAACATTCTAAGAAGAACCAGAAAAATGACAGGTCGTACACAAGTTTTGCTTAGGAAGCTGTGATTGTCACTAAGTTGCCCCATGAACCTGCTGTCCTTCTCCCCCTCAGAGCAGCGAATTCAGTTTCTATTTAAAGGGACACTGCCTTCTTTTTTTTTTTTTTTTCCGGAAGAAAAAGAAAATTTTGAGTTTGGAAAAAAATCCCTTTTAAAAGGTTCGAATAAAACTATCAGCTTAGAATGGTCAAAATAATGTTTGCTAAGAAAATGATCATCAGCTCCTGAGTCTGGAGCGGGGCCACAGGGCATGATTAGGGGGTATCGGCTTCAGCCCTCGGTGCCAAGTCTGAGATCCCGCAAGAGAAGTAGAGGGCGGAAGACCGGGCAACGTGGCCACCTGCCCAGTCTGCCGGGGACCGTGGGGCCACCGTCTGCGCCCAACTTTGTCAGCCTTCCCCCCTAGTGCATATGGTCCACGCGCCTCCCGATTCAGGCCGGCGACTCCCAGGCCAGAGAGGAACTGGGGGGCCAGCGGAGGCCCGGCGGCCCCGGGAGCGGCCCTCGGGGCCCGGCGGCTTGGGCTAGGGGGGCGGGAGGGGAGGGGGCTTGCCGCCCCTCCCCCCGGCGGGTCCAGGGAGCTCCCAACGGCTGCTCGGCGGCTTCCTCCGCCAGCGCCCGCCGCGCCCTCCCCGCCCGGACGGCGGCCCTCGCCACGCCCCGCGCCCCCGGGGCGCACCCCTGCGGGCCGGCCGGAGCCCCCCGGGCCGCGCTCCTCTGGAGAGCCCCCGGCGCGGGCGTGCGGCCTAGTCGGGGTTACATAACGGGGCCGGGCCCCTCCGCAGCCGACCAGGGGCCGCGGAGCCCGCGCGGGCGGAGGCGGGGGCGCCCCGCCGCTCACCTGCCGTAGATGCCCTCGGTGATCCGATTCCGCTTTAGGGGGCGGCGGAGCTTACTGCAGTCGGCGTTCCGCCGCTTCATCCTCCCGCTGGGGGGCCGGGTGCCCGCGCCGCCTCCGCCGCCGTCTCTCACCTCAGCCGCCGCCGCCGCCGCCGCCGCCGCCGCCGGCCCGCCCCGCGTCGGGCCTGGACTCTACCCCTGGGGCCGGTCACACAGACATGGAGCCAGCACCCGGGGGGGAGGGGGTGGGACGGGGAGGGGGGGCTCAGAGCCTCCTCCGCCTTCGGAAACAAAGAAATGACAATTCCGGGGCCCACCCGCCCCAGCACCAGCCAGCCGCCTGCCCCGCCTCCTCGGCTCCAACGGACGGCCCCCGAGGCCAATCGAAGGCGTCGCTACGCCGCTGCCGGCCAATCCAAGGGCCCGCTGAGGCAAAACGGACTCGAGAACCCGCCTCCTTGAAGGACTGAAGAATGCGCCAATCATTATAGTGTCTGTGTGCGTGCCTGGGCCTATCAGAAAAGATTTAAATAGAGGCTTATAAATAGGCCCTATAAATATAACATCCTATATTATGCCTTATTGCGAAGGCACACTTCATGACTGTTGGATTGCGTTTCATTGTATTATAATCCATGCTAGAGCATACCGTGCTATATTCATTGCCCGCTATCACTAGCACCGTATGAAATCGGGAGGCCTGGGTTTGCGGCATGTGCTGTTTTCTGCGCTGACATGTGCCCCAGTCAGTCGCGTCATTATGTAAGGGGTTCGCAGCATCCTCCCCCTCCGGGAGACTCCGGGGTCAGCGCCGGGAGCCCTTTCTGCGGATCCTGGAGCGTTCGGCCAGGCCGGCCGCGTCAGCGCGCGACGGGGGTACGAATGACAAAGCAAACCCCACACACACATACACACACACACGCCCTGCCAGCTCCCGGCGACGTGGTGACAGCGCGGCGGCCAATCGGAGGTGGCGCGGGGCGGGGCTGCTACGGTCCTGCCCCCTGGAGGCGCGTCACAGGGGGCGGGGCCGTGGGTGCGCGCGACGTCGCTCTGGGCTGCCGGGGGTGTGTGGGGCGGTGCGACCCTCTCTCCACGTCCGCAGGACGGGCTGTGCGGGTGGCTCCGCGGGCACCACGCCTGCTGGACACGGCGAGCGTCAGCGTCAGGGACGTGTCTGTGCTGTGCGAGGGGTTGATGCCGCGGGGACTAAAGGGAGGCTGCTCGGCGGCGAGGGCCGGGCTTTTCACATGTTGGGACACCGGCCGGCGACCCCTCTCACCCGACCCTCCTAGAACGCCGATTTTGTGCCAGGCACCGTGCTGAGTGCTTTGCATCTACTTGCTCATTTACTCATTAATCCCTTGCAACGTGGGTATGGCAAAATCACAGAAAAGACAGCAAAGATTCTTTTAAAAAGAATGTCATTAATGAAAACTGGGAAGCTGTCAAAAGAAGAGACGGGGAGAAGAAGGGAGAAGAAGCACCCATGGATCTCATCACCTTAACACGACCACTATTAGCACTCTAAATTTTTTCTTTCTTTCCTATTTTCTCCCATGGGTGATATCATTTTTACTATTACTGCTATTATTACTGAAGAGTTGTGATCATACTAGATATTCAACTCTGTATTCTGTTCTTTTGTGTGTGTGTGTGTGTGTGTGTGTGTGTGTGAGTAAATTGATAGAAGTTTGTTAAGTGAAGATACAGAAAAAGCTCTCAAAAGTGAGAGGGGTCCCGACAGGGTTGCCACTGAGGGCCTTTAGGATTGGTCTTTTTGTATTCTGTTCTTTAATGCAAACATTGTCCCATGTTATTATGCATCCTCCCTAAATATTTCTGATGGCTGCTGAATCTCCTGTCACGTGGCCATACCAACTTAACCACACACCAACAGTGGGACTGTGAGGTGGTCTTCCAGCACATTTTAAAAACTTCCAGGAAGTCGATGGTATCTGGTTTTGTCCTGAGTTGGGTGGACCTCTCCCTGCCCTATAATCACCCCCTTAATCAACACCTACCCCAAGGAGGAACTTGTAATTTGTATCAAAGTCATCATTCTCATCTGCTGTTCTTCCTTATTTTATCCTGCTCACAAATCTTTAAAGATCCTCCAATGCCTGAAAACCATTCTCTTTGTTATGGCATCCAGAGCTGTCACACTGGAGACCCACTCTCCTTTTCCAGGCCTACCCAGGCCAGCAAGCCTTATCTACTCACTGTCCTCAAACCCACTGCAACCTTATCTTCCCTCCTTTCTGCCTTTGCTCCCACACAGAGCATCTCCAGCAGTGCTGCTCCTAAGTCTGGTTTCTTGGGTGAGTCTTGTTCATCCACCAAGGATGAAAGCTTCTTGGGGGATTGGATCCTTATTCTGAAGAGATGCAGTTTTGAAAAATTGCAAGAGTACCTACCTTTTCAGACCAGGATTGAAATTCCAGCTTGGCCACTTACTAGCTTGGGCAAGTTACAGAATCTTAGAACCTCTGTTTCCACTCAGGTATGTTTTAAGGCTTATAGAATAATGAACTTTCAGGGCCAGGCATGCAGTAGGTAACGGCAAGCAATTACTGTTAATAGTATACTTGTTTTTCATCCCTCACTTCTCTCCAGCATGTTGATAAAGTGGCACTGGGTGGCCAAGGAAAACAAACTCCGTGAGCTCAAGCTTTCATCAAGGCTGCCCATCATTGTGAAAGGGTCTGAATGGAATGCTCCGCTTGGAGCAGCAGAAAAAGGCTTCGGCTGCCAAGGTGAATTAGTTCGTGGAGGAGGATACAGGCAGGACTTACATCAATATTCTGGAGGCTTGAATGCATTAGGAAGGTTACATGGTAAGATCCTGGCTCTAGACTCCATGAGGCCCCAGATCTAAATATAGCCATTAACTCCATGACTACAAGGTTCCAGATTACCTGGGCCAGAGACAAACAGCCAACTCAGTAAGGTTATTAACAGGGCCATATCCATGGTCTTTTCCACTCCCCCTTATGTCCCTGTTATCTAGGACAGTGCCGTGGCACACTGTGGAACGAATAGGTGAGTAATCCAGGAAAAGATGACAGAGGCGCTGGAGCTCACTGTCTAGCCTACCATCCTGATAAGGATATTCCATGCTGTGGCAGAAGTGTGGAGTGACTGGGAGTTACTCTCAGGCATAAGGCTACATGGGGAAAAGAGAAAGAACAGAGAAAATCTGAGGCGCCTGGGTGGCTCAGTTGGTTAAGCGACTGCCTTCGGCTCAGGTCATGATCCTGGAGTCCCGGGATCGAGTCCCACATCAGGCTTCCTGCTCAGCAGGGAGTCTGCTTCTCCCTCTGACCCTCTTCCCTCTCGTGCTTTCTATCTCTCATTCTCTCTCTCTCTCTCAAATGAATAAAATCTTTAAAAAAAAAAACCAGAAAATCTGGAGGTCTGGGTTCCAGTCCCAACACCCTGCTGTTGAGTTACCTGCATACATCTGTGCCAAGATCCCCTCTGGAGACTCTTCAAGCCCTGTGTTTAGAAGCAGGTCATTTTAGCTCCATTTTACAGATGGGAAAACTGAGGCTTGGAGAAAATAAAATTAGGCAATTGGCTTGGTAGAGCAGTTTAGCTCAAGGAACAGCTGAGTGAGATCAAGCTGTGATGCTATAGGCCAAACCTGGGGCCTAGAGATGGTTATTGATGATTAGGTTTATCAATCTGGTGATGGGCTGGAGTAGGATGACAGGAATTGTCACCTTGCCAAGAGCCCACAGTAAGACTGCCCTTCTCCAATCCCTCCTTCTGCCCCAGCCAGACCATCTCTTTTCCTGGGCTGCCCTAGCCCAAGCTCCTTTGGGCTCTAGTCAAGTGCCAGCCTTTCCCCTCTGAGCCCTCAGATGGCTCTTTGGGACCCTAAGGGCACAGGCCTGGGCAGAGGTGGGGTAGCCTCCTGCCCGCCACAGAGCCCCCAGCTCCCCATACCTCCACCATCAGTCAGGAACCAGGGGAGAGCAGTAGCCATTTTACAGATGAGTAACACAGGGAAGGGAAATCATCTGTTCGTATTCAAAAGACCAAGGCCCAGCCAAGAATTCAGGGTTGTCCCTCCTCTTCTCTTGGGATGTTCAATGGGCAAGGGGTTGAGATTTGCCCTTGAGCTTCACCTGAGCTCAGAATAGCTCAGAAGAGCCTGGAGAGTAATCATCACATCCTGTTTCACAAATAAGAAAACTGCATCCCCCCCTCTTTCAGTAGCTTCAATCCCCTCAAGCCCTCCAGTCAGGGCTGGCCCAGCTGCCTTGAACTTGGTTCCCATGCCACAGGAGTCACTGAAAAGTCCGGACGTTGGGGTGGCCACCTCTTATGCACGTATCCGTGTCCCCCAGAGAACCCTGTTAACGGAGGATATTCATTGTAATGTTTAGAACAGAAACAGTTGAGAAATAACCCAGATAATCCTGCAAAGGGGGCTGGTCAAACACGGTCACACATTCTTCCCACGGAAGTCGTGTGGAATGGTGACACGTAGCACTTACCACGTACAGTCACTGCTCTAAGCACCATATGCACTTTGATCTCAACCTCACAACAACCCTATGAGGTAGAGATGTTACCGGTGCCATATCACAGACGAGAAAACTAGCCCAGAGCAACTCAGTTCTTTGCCTAAGGTCGCACAGTAAGCATGAATTCAAACTCAGAAATTCTGACATCGGAGCCTGGGTTCTTAGCCGCCCTGACAGAATGTTGTAGAAAGATATTCCCGGCTTGGAAATGACTTAGGATATACTATTCACGGAAAAAGCAATCACCCATTTTTACAGGAGAGAAAACAAGGCCTAAATTCACATGAATAGGAAAAAAAATCTGAAAAATATACAAAAAGAAGAAGAACTGGTTTTTGGAGATATGGAAATCACGGATGCTTTATGTAAACTTTATGCACGTCTGCATTTTCAGAGTTTTCTACAGTAAATATGCCAACCCTGTGCAATAGTAATAATTACTAACATTTATGGAGGATTTTCTGCACATCTGACACTTACATGCACTTCCTCATTTACTCTTCATGACCGGGGTTCTCTGGGTGACTCAGTGGGTTAGGTGCCTGACTCTTGATTTCAGCTCAGATCATGAACTCGTGGGTCGTGGGATCAAGCCCCACGTTAGGCTCTGCACCGGCAGGGAGTCTAAAGATTCTCTCCCTCTGCCCCTCCCCGCACTTGCATGCACTCTCTCTCTCAGATAAATAAATCTCTAAAAAAAAAATCTTCACAACCACTCT